TTAGTCGCCGGCTTCCCACCGCGACGGCTCGGGTTCGAGTCCAGCTCAGCTCATGTTGGATTTGTGGTGGATAAAGTGGCAGTGGGCCGGTCATGGTAGCCGAGCGGTCTAAGGCATGCACTGTCTTCGCTCGCTCGGAAGCCGGGATCGCGGGTTCGAATCCCACTCAGGGAATGGATGTTTGTGTACGTTTTTCTGTGTTTGTCTACAGGTAGAGGCCTTGCGACGAGCTGATCACTCGCCCAAGGAATCCTACCGTATGTGTAAGATCTAGATAAACCGAAGTGAACGGAGTTCATGGAGGTAGGCCTAGGCCCACTGGGGCTGTAGTGCCAAGGGGGGAAAAAGTGGCACTGTGGCACTTTTCTTCCAAGTACTTCGGTTTCCTCTGCCAATTCTCATTCCACCGACTTCCGGGGATGGTATAATAGGCCAATTGGTGGCCGACGTATCAAATGGACTCAGTCTCACCCCATCTCAAGAAACTAAAACTAAACTAACTTTACAATGAAACTGTAACGATGCAAACTAAATAATGTTTCAGACACGCTTTAGCTCACATGTACCGCTAAGCCTCGCCACATCGAGTGTAGCATTCAGAGAGAAGTAAGACAGCATAAAGGCTTCCCAGAATTCACTGTCCTGCTTCGCAAAAGAAAGCGTAATAATTACTGACGTTAACAATTGTACACTAATGACTGTCATTATGTGAAGAATGTTTAGATAAATCGGTAAATATCAAACAAGTCTGAACTACTTCATCCACCTCACGTGATCTATCGTCTCCGCTCTTCTACTTGACATGGCACTAGCCAATGGAATTATTCCCCATCATCCCGTAACCAAACGTGTCCTATTCTGGAGCCAATCGGTTCGAACCTCGACAGGGACCTCTTTACTTGAACAGATACTCTGACCTATGGCTCTACAGCCCTTGTGGACCTTGGCCGCCTTTTCACTTTCTTAATCTATACAAAGTCCGTAGGACTCATAGGACGGGGGATCAGCCCATCGCAAGGCCGCTGCCTACACATACAACACGAACACAGACATCCATGTCTCGAGTGGGATTCGAACCCACGATCCCAGTGTTCGAGCGAGCTAAGACGGTTCATGCCTTAGACCGCGCAGCCACTGTGGTCGTCGCTACTTTAACCTACTGACATATATTTATGGTTTATTTAATGACGCCGTCAGCAACTTGGATTATGCCCGGTGTTTCACAGCCGATTTTCCATTCTTCGGTAGGTCATTCGCGAGGTAACCTTTAATATAAAATGTGCCTGTTTTCAGCCACTACGTTTTAGAAGCGCGCAGGAGAAACTAAGAGAGTAATAACATTATCCGACCATCTACGCCTAGGATTTCCGACTGGTGTCGTTCTTTCAAGTTTTCCTACTAAAGCTTTGTGTAAATTAATCTTCTCCTCCATGCGAACTAAATGCCCCGCTCATGTTACCCTCTTTACTTCATCGCCCTAATAGTACAGGGTGATTCTAAATTATTGTCGGGGTTTCCGTGGCCTGTCGCTGCTATTCTCTCTAGCCTCGTGTGGCTTCCAGACATGCTCTTCAGCACTCTGCCCTCAAACACCTTCGGTTTTATTTTGGGCTCGAGGTTCTCGCAGCGGTGCTAATGAAGAGTTGTATCTCCTGGTATACAATGTGTAGTCCGGTGAAAATAAACCGACGTTTCGGAACAGCATATCGCCTTCGTCTTCAGGGTCTAAGAGTAAACCAAGCAAGACAGAAACATGAAGCAGGCGGCTCTGCTTGCTGCCGGTTTCCTGCTTGGCTCACTTTTGTCCTGAAGATGGAGATACTGTACCCCCCAAGCACACAAGTACACAACATTACAACGCAGAACACTATACACCGTTATAGCTCAGAAGATAGAACTATTCACCAACATTTTGTTTTCCCATATTTCTCATCCATACAAAACAAACGGTGAAATTATAAAGCAACAGTAGTGTGGTTCTTGTGCTTCATTAATTAAGCATCACGCCAAGAAGACGTATGGGGGAATGGAGGTATAGCTCTCCTCACACTAGATGGATCTCAGTGGTCAGCTTTACGCCCTGGCCACTTTACCTACAGGCAAACAACACCCGGTACCCGTTGCATAAGAGGTCTGACGGGCCCCAGAGCCAGTGTGAACACTCTTGCCCCTACCAGAACAGAGCTTCGATTCATCGTCCGGTTCGTAGCCTCTCGCTATGCCGGCTCCTCGGGCAAAATTAAACTTCGTACATTTTAATGTTCATGATTTTTAGAGTGCAAGGGGGGGGGGAGACAAGATTCTGAGTTGAGCTCTGTGGTCGCACAAACTTGTACCATTCCAGGGAACTTGTTGACAGCAAATGCGAGCGCTACAAAGAAAAGCATTACAAGTCCCACAAGGAATTTATCTGTGACCAACTGAAACTTCAGTAATTATAAAATGAGACGATGTCCAAACGCCGGGAGGGGGGGGAGCTTCTGAAACGACGTCAAGAGCATTTGGTGTGGTGAAAACCAGGCTGTACGACGGAACCGGTTCGGTTGGCAAACTATAAGCTGTCCGGATAACCAGCCTATAACTCAGACTTCTTTCCCAAACGATTAATACTAAGACATACATTGGCTGCTCCGAACGACCACTTTCGTTTGCAATTTTAAACTGGTATTTATTTAAAATTAGGTATGGTTAGGCAGGTCTAGTTACGAGGCCTTGTTTCGTTCATTAGGCGTGTGTGGGCTCAGATCTTGTCTAGCACAATCCACAACGAGGGCAGTAAAACTTATCCCTGTACTTAATTATGTAATTAAGAACTATACCATGAAGGCATGTGGAGGAGTGGAGATATAGCTCCACCATTCTTGACCTCGATACTAGATGCAGGTGTGGTCCGCTTTACCCCAGGGGATACAGCCCCCAGCACCCATTGGACAGGAGGCTGTGTGGGCTCCAGACCCGGTCTGGATGTTATGAAGAGAAAAATCTCTCGCCTTGCCGGGAATCGAACCCAAACACATCAATAATAATAATAATAATAATGTGTACAGGCCCGCTGCTAAGCAGTGACTCTATAAACAGACCGTTTCTGGGCAACGGCTCGGTAAACACGTTCCCGTCGCTAGGCATCAGATTCTTCATGATGCAACAGTTGGACTACAACAATGGAAACGGGGTACTTTCTATGTGGTCCGTTCCTATATGTTGACAAGGGTAGTTTAGTCAGTTCTGCACGGGAGGTTGTGAAGAGAGACCCTGAGCGCGTGGAGCTGAAGAATCTCAAATGTTAGAAGCCGTGGCCAGGAAACGGCTGGTGATGACACAGCAGGCTGGAATAAGGCTTAGAAGGTGCTGTGGCAATTTGTGAATTGTGGTGATTAGCGGTGGCGCTGTAATTGCTTGTACTTACGAGTCGGGTGTATAGGTGGTCAGTAAACCCATTCACCAATCCAAACCCCGTCTACAGTCACTCATACATGTGAAAATAATGACAATAATAATAACGCCTAGATTATTTCTGTCGTTGGTTATTTTAAGGGCTCTGTCAGTACGAAGCCCAGTATTTCTCAAACTCCCGGCTACTGCAGACACTCCCTTTAGCCGTAAATAACACGCAATTACCCCCTTTTCTGTGAAAATAAACTGCCAAAGATCATTTTACAACAAATTTAAGGTAAGCTTTTTAAACAACGATTCATCACAATTTTATAATTTAAATTATTTCGTTTATTACAAATCATATATTATATTGACTATACAGTACTACGGATCATCTGGTGAAACGCCACGGACCACAGTTTGAAAAACACTAATTATGTAACGTCGAATGGTAGACTGATAGATCGGAAAAGATTTAGAAGGAAGTGATCGTGGCCTGTTCGAGATACCATTCCGGTATGTGTATGAAGGGACTGAGGAAAACCACATCCGGTGTCCCGGCCGAAATTCGAACCAATCGCCACCCAGTCAGCGTCTAGAAGCGTTACAGTTATGCCAACCCGGTGGAAGTAAATAACTGAATTGGGAAATATGTGCAAGGAAGCCGTCGTGGCCTATTTTAAGGTAGTATTAGGGGATTTGCGTGGAGATGAAGAAAATCACAGAATATCTCAGTAGGATAGCAGATTTCGCGGCCGAGTTTTGAACTGCGCACCTTCCGAACACGAGGCAGGAGCGTTACCGCTACAGCAGTAAGTCTGGTAAGCTGTGCTACTGATAGTCGTTAAATAAGCAATCCTTATGAACAAAGGTAAGGCCTGTTGTTGTGTCGTGTTGGCAAGAAGTTCCGAATAGGAACAGAAGGTGGTACGAAGCAGAGGAAGTAGCTTGAGTCGGTATTACAGTGCCCATCATTCAGCAAAACCGTAAAGTTGTCCCTGTGCTTAACTAATTAAGCACTACGCCATGAAGGCGTATGGGGAAGTGGATGTACAGATCCATATTTTGTTGACCTCGGCACTAGTTGGAGGTAAGTGCTCAGCTTCATGTTCCTGCCGTTTTACCCCACGAAAAGAGCCACCGGAACCCACTGGATAGGAGGCTGGTTGGGCCCCAGTGCCGGTCTGGACATCGCGGAGAAGAGAGAATTCTTGACCCTACCGGGACTCGAACTCCGACCACTCAGCCGTCCAGCCCGTAGCCAGTCGCTATAGCGATTGAGCTACCCCGGCTCTAAGTTAAGTTAATAAATAAGTGAATGAGCACTATGCCTTGAAGACATATGCTGGGATGGAGGTATACCTCCACCATTCTTGACGTCGGCACTAGATGGAGGTGAGGGGTCACCTTCATGCCCCGGCCACTTTACCCCTGGTATCCACGGGATAGGTTAGCTGGGCCTCAGAACTGGTATGGACATTGTGGGGAAGAATCTTTCCCTTGCCGGGAATCAAACCCCGGCCGTGTAGCCCCTAGCCCGTCATTACGCCTACTGAGTTTACAAGAATATTGTGTAAAATAATCCCCTATGAATGGCCGGTAATGGTATTTGTATTATTTTACAGGTGCCGTGTGGTGTCTTCCAGCTACAGCGACAGACCGACCTGCTGACGGGAGAGCTGCAGCAGCAAGAAGCACAAGTCGCGGGCGGCGATGTGTACCAACCGTGGACGGTCTCACTTAATGAATTACATAAACCTGGCCTTATTTAAAGGACAATATGCGTTACGCAGCCACCGATGTCTTTATATAGTTCAAGTCCATCTTATAATTACTTGTCTGCACTTAACGAAATCATTACTTTATTCATCATGAAATGAGACCGTAACGAAATAGTAATACATCAACTGTTCACGTCAAATAAAAGAACGACGACCGTCGGTTTGCATGTAAATTAGGCCTGTCATTATTGTCGACTTTACATTTGCTTCTTGGGAAGAAACGTCGACGGAAGAACGAGTTTAAAACGGTTCGTACACACACAGAAATATTATTCTGTGTCTTAAAACATAACGGAAGTAGTAGATTCTAAAGGGTTCTGACGATGGTGTATAACGGACTTCTTCCTTCTGCCGGTATTCCAAAAACTGGAGAACACAAGGTTTCGGAAACCGGGCCTGTCTCAGTCCTCAGGTGATACGGGAGACACCTACTCTGTTGGGTTCCTTAGAAAAGGCTAACCAGTGATTGAGGTTGGCTCTTTCTGAGGGATTCAACTGAGTAGGTTTCTTCCCCCTCACCCGAGGACGGAAACAGATCCACTTTCCGAAACGTTTTCTAGTTTCTAGAATACCGGACGATGAATAACGGAAGAAGTTCATTCTATCTCAAAACGTGGGGGCTACTTAAAACGAAAGTTTCTGAAGTTTATTCTCCTTGTGACACAGCGTGGTCTACTAGATAGTTGCCGACGTTTCGGAGGAACATGCCTCCATCTTATGGATAGAATAGTAAGCCCAGCGCGATGAAATGCTAGGGACACAAGTGGAGAGAAGATGTGACTGGGCTCTGAGAGAACACTGTAAGGCTAGGCGAGCCCCAAAGCCGGTCTGGACGTTACGAAGAGAAGAAGCTTGTTCCTGCCGGGAATCGAATCCCGACAGTCCGGTCTATATTCTGTCGCTATGCCCACTGAGCTATCCCGACTCCTTTAATAATGAACAGAGAGAAACAGAGTAAGAGATGCTTCCTCAAGAGTAGCGAATGGGAGTGAAGAGAAACAGTAACAGGGGTTGAAAGAGACAACAGAGTACGGGGAAGGGGAAAATAAACGAAGGACAGAGACAAAAACAAACAAACAACAAACTCTGTGGCTTGAGTCCGCAAAACTATACCGACCGAGCGACCGCCGCTTGTCGGCAAAGTTAGTACCAACTTTAGCGGATAGAAGGTGTCGCGTAGTCAGCGCAACGGTTCCCCACGGCTGTTAATTTCGGTTTTCTAGACCGAAGCCGCTACTTTTCTAGTCAAGTAGAGCCTCAATTATCCTCACGAGGCTGAGTTGACCCCGTTCCAGACCCACTACTTCTCAGAAAATCTGGTAGCGCCGGGAATCGAACCCGGACTTCTGGATCTGTAGGAAGGAACTCTGACCACTAGGCCACAGAGGCGGTCAGGACAGAGACAAAATATTCATAATATTTGGATGAGTAAGGCGAGGCGAGGTGAGAGTAAGAATAGAGAAAAGGACAGTAACCCTCGAAGAATAATTTTTCAAGTTACGGTAATTTTCGTCACAAATTCTTAATTAAGATGGCAGCGGGCGCTTTCGAAAGAAGCTCAACACATGGAACTAAATTGTAGGGTTTGAAACAAAATTTTGTTCGCATGAAAGAACGCATTCATTACCAGTATGTCGCAATGTTCCAACATGGTCGTCACGCGAACTACGGGCGCCTTTGGTTTATTCTTCTCAGCAAACAAACTGTTATAGTCGGTTATATCCTGGCTTCTTGTTTCTCGTTTTTACGAATATAAGAACTATATGCACAGACTAAATGGCGGGCGAGGAATGTGTACAGAATATGCTAATGTGAACATCTCTAAACACAGAGGTACACAAACAGGGATTCGAAATAATCAACGGAAATATCGCAAACATAAAACTGCCAGAAATCCTCTGAGAGAGGCAAGCCATTGTCCTGTAAGTTGTACGCAACATTTCAAACCACCGATGTGAATCTTGTAAGGAAGAGGTAAAGCTGTCCTACGCCAGGAAGGCATATGGGGGAGTGGGTGTGTAGTTCCGCGATTTCTTTACCTGGGCACTAGTTGGAGGTGAGTGGTCACCTTCACGCTTCGGTCGCTTAACCCCCGGTGTCAATTGGATAGGTGGATAGGAGGCTAGGTTGGCCCCGAACCGGCCTTGACGACGTAGAGAACAGGAAATTCTTGACCCTACTGGGACTCGAAATCCGACCCCCTCGGTCGTCGAGCCCGTAGCCAGTCACTATACCGACTGAGCTATCCCAGCTCCTATGTGACTCTTATATCAAAACGAATTAAATTCAGTTCTGCGGATTACTGAAAGCGCTAGGAGTCTCAGGAGAACGTTACTGACATCAAAGATCTTATCAGACAACAACTCAAAAAGTTTCGAATACCTCAAACCAGGGCTACACGATTTCAAACCACGGAAGGGACACTATTCTACGTTAGGCATCTACAACAGACGATTAAATCACATTGAACATCTGGTAACCATTTTTCGGAAATTTGTTCCGACAAGATTCTCCGCCGCCTTCTTTAACGTTAAGCCATATATTTGGGGATAAAAGGCTACTCTCGCAGGTCCACTCAATAACCAAACGGCGAGCCGCTAGCTGGACAGCCCTGCCGCAAACTAACAAATATTCACAGAACCCTCTTCTTTCTGTTTTTGCTTGGAAAGCAAACACTGTGAGCAAGTTGTTATAACCGAAAACTTGTGTGGATATCTGATTAAATATGGTTAAATCTGATTCTACTTGATATTACACGCCCCACCCTATTTCCATGTCACCTAAACTAAAGAGACCGAAGGCAGTCAATACAGTGATACCCACCTCCCTACTATACTGTCAGCTAATAGCTTTCCAAGTTACCTCCCATGTCCCTAGAAATATTCTTTCTTCGAAGGAGAGAAGTGTTCAAGTGGTGGCTGTCTGCGTCGGGAACAGCATGTATCTGCTCTGTGAGAGAGGGTACGTAGTGACGCGGACTGTTACGTCAACATTAAAAAAGTTACAAATTTCTGATATTCATGGGCCGGTGGGAAACTCAGACATACCTACACTGGACTTTTCTTCTTTAAAGTTGGCTACACAAGATATGACGTACCCTTATTCACAGAATGGATGGACTTCAAAGGAACTAAATACTAACTCGATGGAGCTTTGTCCTTCAAAAGCCGCCAGTCGCTCAGCTACCCAAGAATTTCCCAACATCTTATGGAAAGGTTTATTACCGTGTTCACAACAGCCCTCCGCTGGTCTCTATCCTGAGCCAGATCAGTCAATCATATCTACCATATCTAAGTTCCATTTCAATATTATCCTGTAACCTATGTCTAGGTTTTCCTTGTGGTCTCTTTCCTTCTGGCTTTCCCATCAAACTCCTATATGCATTACTCTTCTCCCCATGCGTGATGGGCCTGGTGCTCGAGATTCATTTACTGCATTTTTAAATGTGCTGAATTGAGTTTTCTATAAATGTTACTGCCATCTGGTGTGTGACGTCATGTCTGGTAGATATTTGACGTTACGGAGGAGCCTCAGCCAGGACTGAAGAGACGGCAAGTTCCTCCCAAATGCTGAAAAATGTCTACCACACAGTCACGCCACAGAAGGCAGTGGTCTTCATAGTCACCGCAAAATCTAACATTGTTTTCCTTCCATAAAATCATGAATATTAATTTACTGATAATTGTAACGTTCTACGATTTTCTGTTATGCTCAGCGCTCTTAAGTGCATTAATGAAGTCCCCACCGTTTGACTGCCTGCCTGTCTGTTAATTGCTGCTAGCCCTCGCCAGTACAGCGATTCCTGGTTCCGAGTCCCACGGGACCCACGACCATATTTTACTCTATGACGGCCCTGGGAGACTTCAGGCACTCCTGAGGCTCTATCCTTTGAAATTTATCTAAATAATATATCCAAATTCAGTTCGTAACTCACAAGAAACACATTACGTCTCCGCCAATGCTGTTTAGGGACATAATTCCTGTTTCTTCTAAGAACCATACGATGCATATAAACACTGCGTGGGCAGTATTTTTAATGTTACAGCAGGCGGTATATATAGTTACCACTGTGCTTTAAAATTTTAACACAGTTGGACGAGATCTATCAGTAATGCTCTAGTATTCTGGAGGTGCCCATTTTAGATCTTGGCCGGGGCATCGACTATCCTTTTTTTTTTCTTCAGTCCCTCCGGGCAAATTCCAGAATAGTTACTCCAAAATTCTTCCTATTTCAGTAATCATCCTAACATCCCACTCTAATGGTCTATACTTACAGGGTAGTTACATAACCCACAAAAAGAAATGGCACACTGGGTCCAGTACAAGAGCACTGTGGTACGTGGATACGGCATCCGGAAGGACTGGACTAGACAAAGCCCAACAGTGTCCGGGGGACTTCAGGAAGCGACAGTTGGCACGCCTTGCTTCAAGCAGAACAGGTTTAAGACTTATCCTGTGATGAAAATAATTCAGAAGCGAGGTAAACAAGAAAGCATCGACGTGGGGTCCATTACTATGACCGATTCATGAGTTACTTAACGATCCCGTTTCAACTACAGCGCTTATACATAGCAGAATGGGATGAAAAACTATTATTATTATTAATTAGAAGTGTCCCATGACGACACACCATCCAGGCATACGCATGATACTGAGGTAAACCACGAAAAACACCTTAGGAAAGCCCTAATCTGAGAGATTAGAGCCAAGTATATACCCCCCTTCAGAACAATGATTTTATTTCCCAAGATAGAGAGTGGAATCATACGCTTGTGTATTTTTACGCTTTAAAGCCCAGTGGTCACTACATGTATCACTTAACACACTGAAACTATGCATTCTGCCCATAGAGTGTATCCATGTGTTCAGAACGGTTCTCACAGTAAACAGCATTAACCGGTTGGGCTTTGTACGTAATGTTTCCTGTGAGGTACGTACTGAATTCTTATATATACTGCATTCTGCCCACGGAGTGTACTGTGTGTTCCGTATGGTTCTCACAATAAATAGCGACTGTTTCCCTAAACAGCATTAACCTGTTGGGCTCTGTAGCGGTGACGTAATGTGTTTCCTGTGAGGTACGGGCTGAATTCTTATATATTATTTAAACGAATCCCGGGCTTGCAAAGGGTTACTATCAAGGCTTGGCAACATGTGTCCCCATACGTCACATCATGCGCCTTGTTTTTCCGGTAATGAAATAAACAAGATTACTAATAAGCCAGTGTGTTTATTTTCTATTCTATCCTACACGCAATAATCAACATATTACATATACGTCATCAATGTACAAACTCCATGGGGCAGAGTCCTCATTCAGAACCTAAACGTCGCTCAACTTGTGAAGATACTCGCTGTCTTTTATGGAACCCGAACGTTCATTGCCGTGTGCACAGAAGTTCTCCACAATTCCCTATTCTTAGCCAGCTGAATCCAGTCCACACCCTCCAACCAAATGTCCATAACATTCATCCTGATAATATTGGCAAGGGGTA